TTCTGGACGATTGAAGTAAAAGAAGGGCGAAGAAATTCGTGTCAAGATACATGAAATAAAACAATCACTGTGTGATTAGCAGCAATAGCTATGTCGTGTTTCATATTTTAATGTCACAAGGATCGCGTTAGCAGCTTTTCTAGTGGTCCCAAACCTAGTCCATTATTTAGTCGGCGATCAGCTCCTTTTTTTGAGTTATCTCTTTTGAATTATGTTCTGATGGATCTGATTGATAATGTCACTCGCTTAAAACTATAGAATATTTAGATGTAATCTTTAATTTTGGTTGGGACAATTTTTGTGTCGTAGAGTGCGGATGTGTTTATAGAAGAATAAAAAAAACATAAATACAGAAAGATAATTGAAAAAAAAGAACACAATGACGAAAATTTATTCATTTGCTCTCATACATATTTATATTATCATGATGAAAATCTGCAATGACGAAAATCATGGCCATTGGATATTACTATGTAAAGTGGGTTCGCAAGGCTCATTGCACTCAATTTGATACTTATTCTTATGCTTTTTCATCAAGAAACTCATAAAACCATGACATAATATTCAATGAGCAGAAGTAAACTCGAATCACTTTTCGTTACAGGTTTTGTAAGGTTTTGATAAGAGCTAGAGAATATTCTAGCATATTCTAAATCGTTTGTAGAAGTAAATATTGATATTTTGTTTTCGTCTTCTATAAAAACACTTTTTCATTTCTGTTCAAGAACTGAATGTTAAGTTGTATTTTGCAGCTTCTCAGAATATTTCTTTCTTTCTATGCCACCAGGGGATTGTATGAAAACATATTATTTTAAAGTACTGACAGTTTATGGCGGTAGTTTGCTAGACTACACTCAAGAAAACGATTTTTGTACTCATGTACGAAACCTTTCGGGTTGGTTACAATTCTCACAACCCTTTCTAAATTCTGAATTGCAACGTATTTTTTTCAGTGCGCTACTTTTACGATTCAACCGATTGTTCTTTTTCCTACCTACAGCGCTACACACACAATCACTACTTTTGGACGCGTCCGTATTCCGAGAATTCTGAGCTCTTGTGAATTTAAGACGATAAAGATTAATAGAAAATAAGCGGTTACCAACCACAGCTCAGCAAAATTCCAGGAACTCGCGAACCTCTTTAAACTTTTAGATTTTCAAGAACTCAGCTATTCTCAAGGTGCAAGTATGTTATATTAATGTTTACACGCAAATTTTTGAGAATTTTTATCGATTTTCTATCACAGGGATACAAACTACTCAGTTTTTCAATATATATATTTCTTGTGATCGCTATTCATTCAGAAAACACTTTGTTGACTGTAATTAAGTATGCATATGTTTAATGCACTCATTTTTGCGTCGATAAGATACCACGGATTAGAGACGAACACTTTTCTTTTTATTTAATCAAGCGAATAGGAGCATCAGTAAAATATGCGTAAGCACACATACACTTACTCTCCCAAATGAAAACCAGTCATAGTATAAATGAAACTGACACCCTTTTTACCGGTGGATGATTTTTTTTTTACCAGCTTGATGTATCGAATATTCGTTTTTGCGATGGTAATGCTTGGAACGACTGCTGGTGATACAGGTTAGATATCAACATTAAGTCATAGAAAATACTCAGTTCAAATAGAGTTTCATTGCTATTATGGAAGAAGATTTTGAGAATTTTAATGCATTGAAATATTCCATCAGAGAGAGAGCAGAAAATGTTTTCGAAATGAAACTAGTCCTAATTAGTTCTGTTTTTTTCCTCTTAAATTGTTAGTGGTCGACTTGACCGATTGCAAAATGACACATGCTCACGCTCTTGAACAAGTCGTGCTCATGGGTATACGAATGCCATCGACTAGTGGATGTGGCACGAGCACTGAAACGGCATGCGTTTCCCTCGAACAGATAAATTGTGATTCTATTGGATGTTTGATAGAACTCAAAGTAGCATCTCAATGTGATATTCTTGTTACGACTGGCACGGTAAGAAAATATTTTGTTCATTTATATTTGAATTATCTTGAAATTAAAAAAGGAAACGAACAACGAAAACGGTTACAAAATCGGTATCGCACTTGATAGTTGCATCGACACTTATATTAGCAGCAAGTTTGAATATGTCACGACTTTTACCAACGGAACGATACAATATAAGGCAACTAATGGAAACACTTTTACTAAGGAATCTAATCATTGGGATATTAGATCGATAAACTACTGTGTTAGTTCTACATTCTTGCACTGATCCAATTTTTTTGCAAGGATTCATCGAATAAGATGAATAAAAAATAAGTGACATCATTATATTTTGCAATATCCTAGCAGACAGCTATACATTTTTTTGAAGACAAGCCCATAACTACACTCATCAAGCACGATGATTCTGAATATAAATCTCTAGATTGACAGGTCGATTATATCGTCGCTATTCTGGAAAATGGTCGAACATCATAATTGAGACTCTGGTTTCATAACTAACACACAGTACACTTGTTTCCTCAAGTATTATCTTGACCTCGCTTATAGCCAAATACTAGATCGACCTGATTATTCTGCAGCATTATTATTCGAATGGTTCTTGTTCATCGATATAGAAAAAACGGTTTTGATCGAAAGAAGATCATTTGATATGAAGACATGTATAAAATCATTTGCAACTCGATTTCTCGGGCGGGTATGGATATGAGTTTTTAGTTCAACCACACTTACTCTCACATCTATACTAACACACACACACACTCATACCCTGCTTTTCTTCTCACTCCATTCCCCATGATATGAGCATTTTCACTTCTTTCGAGCGATTCTCACCATGTATTTTCTTGGAGTCATTCTTTTCCTATCAGTTATGACTGTTCTTGTCAACGTTGAAATTTATCAATATTCACTGTTATATCCTCAATTTTCGTGTGCATTCATTCGTAATACATCGCTATTGAGTGATAAATCCATTCAAACATGTATTTGGAAGTGTGTTCATGAACATGATTGTCAAACAACAGTATATATCAATCATCAATAGATTTGCTCGGTGTTTGCAGTGTTGCACTCTTCAAGGACAAACGATATGGTGTCGAAAGTTGGGCATGGGTGTGAGTGTGTGTGGCTGTGACTGTGGATTTGGCTGGGATGTGGGACTTGGTGTAGTGAAAAAATACTTCCACACCCTCACCCTCACCCTTTATTTTAATTTTAGCGCTGAACAGATAGCATTTTTGGTTCAACATTGAACTGAAATAAAAATTTGTCTATCATTTAACGAAACTTAGTTTTATTACAACGTTGAACGCAATTTCGTTCTAGTTTATCGTTGGGTGTGGGTGTGAATCCAGGAGTTTGCGTTGTTTCATGCGTCACTGTTTTGTTTTCCAGTTATTTTCGAGCGTGGGTGAGTGGAGACTCGAAATAAATACTCTTCTTGCACGAACTTAATTTTTCACCCACACTCATACTCACACGATACAGTTACGTTTCCTTTTTCCTGAAAAACTGAAAACGACGTTGTCACCTATTCATTGTAATTTCACATCACTCCAACATTGATCGCACTATATTTCCATTGTATTCTGTGAACTACGACAATACTCGGAGTACGAAAATATATCTTTTCTCCCATTTCTTTAAACTGATACAGGCGTTGGAATATGAAAATCGAATATTTTCGTATGTAGTGAATAGTTCAAAGAATTTTTTTTTGAAATTTCTTCTGCGACATACATTGGTAGAGCATGTTCAGATAAAAGAAAAGATTGGGCATACATAGCTCATTTTTTTCCTTTAGAATAAATAATAAAAATATCTTCGATAAAACTCATTACAAGAACAAATCTATTTCATTGAATTTGGAGTATCTTTACTGTGTAGAAAATGACAATGGTCAGCCATAGATAGATTGAATTAGATAATTTTGTTGATGAGTTTTGAATGCCAATAAAACTTGCATTCCAAATATCTTGTTTTGGTATAGCTTCACTATCTCCTGGCCATGATGGCATTGCAATTGCTACGGCTACGAGAGGTTTGCGTTCTATAGTTCGAAATTGAAATTGTGTACCAACTGGTATAGTAATGCAAATATCAGCGTCAACTGTTAAATTTCTTCTTTCTCTTTTTGTTTTCGTCAAAATTCTCCTTTATCCGATAGAAAATCCCATATTTCGTAAACAGTTCGATGCTGCACAGCATTCGATATCATACCAGAAGAAAGATCAAACTGTACCATACTACCAGCCATTGTTGTTAATAAATTACGAACTAATGAACCGTCAGGTGCAACGATATCAGGATCAATAGGTAAACGTTTGATTTGAAATAGAGAAACAAATTATGTTTGATTGGTAAATAGTGTAGATAATGTCATTTCCGTCGCAGTGACCATTGTAGAGGATGAACCTAAAAGAGTATGAACAAAATAGATAAGATATCATTGAAATATGTTCTACAAAGAACAGAAAGAGATATTTACCAAGCTTCTCCAGTATTGTGTTAATATGATCATGAGTAATTATTTTATGAACTGAAAAAGTGAAAGCATATATACCGTCATATGCTATCGATTTTTACTTAATTGTAAAACTTACCAGTTTGGTTTTCTATAGTGATTGGCTATAGTAGATGTGAATTTAATCAATTGACCATTGCTGGTTTTTTCTAATGGTCTCTGATCAGTGAACTGTATGGTACACAAAGCATTCAAAATAATAATATTGATTAACATTGTAAACTATTGTCTTTGATGATAGAAATGTAATTTCCAATCTATATCATACACGATAGTCTGAAAAAAAACACAGAGATAATAGTTATTCATGAAATTGAACAATAATTAGAGTTGTATGATATAAAATAAGAAACTTTCTTTTAAATTTAAAAATATGCCTTTAAAACAAAATATACTACATAAAGAGATCGACTATAGAATTGTGGTCAACACAGCTTCTGTCAAGAAAAGTCTTTGACGAAACTACTTAGTTTGTCTATATGAACCGATCATCAATAACGATAATATTCGGGTTTGAATGGACCTTCTGGATGTAAACCTAAATATGCTGCTTGTGTTTGTGTCAATTTTTCTAATTTGACGCCTAAATAATCCAAATGTGCCAAGGCCACTTCTTCATCCAACTAGAAAAAAAATACAAAAAATATTGTCCAAGATGAAATTCCATTTCAAGTGTTTTCGCTCTTAATGAGGTATTCCAAGAGATTTTTAATTAGACAGCACTTACAGTTTTTGAAAGGGTATGAATTCCAATTGGATATTGTCCTTTTCTTGTAAATAATTCGATTTGTGCCAAAATTTGATTTGAAAATGAGATACTCATAACAAAACTTGGATTACCATGTGCACAAGCTTAAATTACACAAAAATCAAAATATTTTATGAGTATTTTTTAAGAGTAGTACTTACAAAGATTGATTACACGACCATCAGCCGGTAAAATAACAGCACGACCACTTGGCAAATGATAAATATCAAGCTAGAATAATACAAGTAGACAACGAATAAATGTGACTGAATGAAACATACGTGCGGTTTAACATTTTCAATTTTGAGTGTGTTCGCTTTTAACCATACAACGTCAATTTCAGTTTGACCAGAACCGATATTGCATAGAAGAGCCATATCACGCATTTCCATCATATGTTCACCACGAATTAATTCAGTTGAACCAGTAGCTGAGATAAATATTTGACCAATTTTACATGCTTCAGCCATCGTTGTCACATGATAACCTAGAACAAGGCATCAGCACTCATTAGAACTCACAATTATAACTTACCATCCATTACTGCCTGTAAGGCACAAATCGGATCGATCTCAGTAACAATGATTCGCGCACCAAATGAACTCAAGGTTTTTGCACAGCCTTTCCCTACATTACCATAGCCTACCATTACTGCTACTTTTCCCCCAATCATGATATCTGTCACCTGTTTAATACCATCAATAACACTTTCACCGCATCCATAATTATTATCAAATTTTGATTTTGTTACACTATCATTGACATTTATGACGGGAATTTTTAATTTGTTATCATTGAACAATTTACGTAATTTTGTTATGCCAGCTGTTGTTTCTTCACTAATACCATGTATGTAAGTTGTCAAATGTGAATATTTTCCATGAATGATTCGTGCTAAACAATAACAATCATCTAAAATGGCATTCAATGGCTGCCCGTCCGGAAAATAGATTGTCTAAAAGAATAGACTGATGTCATAAATAATATGCATTAAAAACACAGTGTGGCCAAATAGTCAAACAGTATTCTTTCAAAAAACAAGAAGAGTTCCATGAAGATGATAAGAACGTTTTATTCTAAGAACTGTCCAATTAGTTTTGTGTACTTACGATCGGCGTCTATGCTCAAGTTCGAAACTCTTATTTTGTTATGCACAAGAATTATAGGCGCAGTACATGAGGTGATGAAAGTGTGAGTATGTCTGGTGGTACACAGATGCAGACACTTCTTTGAATGAAACTTTGCCGTTATATTCAAAAATTGTTATTCCTCATTTGAAGCAATCATTGCTGAGTAATAACAATGAACTGAGCAGTGAAACATTTTCCTTCAAATTATGGAAACCGTAGCCTTCTATATATTGTTTCGATATGAAGTTATTCGTAATCGAATACAATTCAATGACTTTGGTGCTACCTTGAGTAACATCAAGGATCAAATTGTGAATACGCTATACGACTTTTCTGACTTCATTCTTCTTCGAATGACGCATTTGTTTGTCGATATTTAAAAATTCATAGGCAAATAAAAGAAAATCTTTCTTGCTTACTTGATCTATACACCATAGTTTTTCTTCTTCAGTTTCATCCTTCCATGCATAAATAGATATACCAGCTTTAACTAGTGCAGCTGCCACATGATCTTGGGTTGATAGTGGATTAGAACTACTCCATTGAACCTGTAAGACAATACATATATGTCAAGAGTCTAAAAATAGTGAGATAACGAGATGACTTACTTGTGCACCCAATTCACGAAATGTTTCGATCATTACTCCAGTTTGTGCTGTCAGATGTAAACATCCAGCAAGACGAACACCTTTCAATGGTTTCTTAGAACTATACATTTTTCTCAATTTCATCACTCCTGGCATTTCAGCTTCAGCCATTGACAATGCTTTCTGTCCCAAATCGGCCAGACTGATATCAGCAATTCGATAGGGTAGATTTTCAATACCGCCATCGTATAATGGCGATTTTTGTTGTTGGCTTTGTTCATCTTCAAAACAATTCATTGGTTTATATGCGTATGAGAAAAAGCAGAAACAGACTAAATTTTATACTCTCCTAATGATACGCTATAAAAACATGCGGTAAAATGAACTATTTAATATTAGCTTTTCAAATCATTTCAACTTATCTAAACTCTGTTATTGGACTATGGAATGGAGAGACATATGTCTTTCATCTATGTCACGAAAAGCGCTTGAAAACTATCGATTCATCAGGGTGATAAAAATAGATTATGTGAAACCAATAAGAACTCCTTATTAGTTCTCTGCAGAAATCACATGTTTTGCAGTGCAGGACTCTTCGTTCGATAGACAGCTAACATTTTCTTGCACGAAAAAAAAACTTTTTTTTTCAGCAGACGTACCGAAATTGTGCTCACTGAATTGTCGACGAAGATTTTTTGCTTCCGTCGGAGTTAATACTGGCGGTGTTGTGGGATTTTCTGATTCGTCATGATGTTGAACATGCTCCAAATGTATATCGAGTTTTCGTTTCTGAACCATTTTTTCTCGTTTTTCTAGCAGAACAATATAATAACTTTTTGTGACAAAGAAATCAGAGTAGTAAACTTCTTACTTTAGCTTGTGACTTGTATTGATTGCTTTTGAATCGTGAAGAAACCATTTTTTTTCTGTGGTTTTTATAATACAAATCACTATTTGCACGAATATAATCCATCTTCAATGTACTTAGCACAAAAGAAGGAAGACAGAAATACCATATATTGCTAAGATTATTTATTAACATTCGTCATGTCCTTCTTCCCATTTTGTCATTATTCGTATACTTGTAAAAATATTGACCTGAATAGATTTATTTTGTTCCTTCTTCTTAGTACTCTATTGACATATTAACGTTCTATTGGTTTTTGTCAAATGGAATACTTAAGCCAGTCGCTGGATTAAGAAACCATATCGTAAACTGACATTTAGAAAGATTGCATCATAGAAGAGAAAATGTGTCATTATATATATACGGTAAAAACTAACGATGAAGTAGAAATAGATACTATTCCACATAAGAATAGACATATACTGTATAGACTAGATATTTCCTCAGAAATTCAAATCTACTTTTTTTGTTTACCTGCGAATAAATATGGTCGTTTCTGTTAAAACAACAAGTGTGGAAGCAAAGGTTCATCATTCTGTTCGCAAATGGTCTGGTGTCATATGGTTTTTAATTGAAGTGAATTTAATTGGTGGTACAATATTTGGATTTCCAGCTTTATTTAAAATTTTACCTCAATATGGAATTTATAATGATACGAATAATTGTGCCATACCATTAATAAATAGAACCGAAGCAGAAGGTAAAGACTCATCTTGTGAAGGACATCAGACACGACAATATCAGGTATGTATACATGCCATATCGATTATTGTTTTGATTTATTTGTGTGTACTTGATCTTAGAATGCGTTAACATTAGGTATTATTTTATTTGAAATACCATCAGTAATTATTGGTCCATTGATCGATCGATTTGGATGTCGATTTGTTAAATTAATTGCAATGTAAGTACTATTGACTCAATGCCTTTATTACTTTCATTTTGAAAATTATTCTGCTCTTTTTAAGTATCTTCCATATTATTGGATGGTTAGCATTAGCATTTGTTGCACCTGGTAAGTGTCTGCATTTATAAACATTACATTCTGTAATTGATTCTTTTCTAAGGACGCGATTCACTTTTATATGTTCACACAAACTTCTCATCCTTAGCTGGTATCATTGTGTTATTGACAGCTTATACATCAAGTGATTATTTTTCAAAATCAAGAGCATTTGTTTCGGCATTGTTTGCTGGAGCGTGTACATCAGCTACAATGTGGTATTCCATATTTCAAGTATGTTCAAAAATGTTTTCTTTCTGAAAAGAAAAAGTTCGCTTTTTTTTCAATAACTTTGTTTTTGTTTTTCTACTGAATGGAGATCAATATTCATTTTATCTCTTTAGATTTTAAATGATGCTGACAAGATTACATTACAACAACTGTCTTACATATGGATGTCATTTAGTGTATTAATGTTGATCAGTTCATTCCTATATCTTGATTGTAGATTTCCTATTCTAAATTTACCCTATCGGTTTGACACAAAATTTGAAAAGAAACAGGATCATTCAGTTATCATTACAGGTAAAAGAGTGTAACAAACAATAATTCTTGCATCTCGTATAGACTATTTTTTTTTCTTTCTATTTAGGTGAAGATCAATCATCGAATGGTAGTGAAATAGACAATATGAAGTGGTATATACGAGTTTTAAAGCGAGAAGGTGTTTGGCATCACTTATTGAGTCCATTATATCTGTTAGTGGTACTATTTTTAAGTATTCTTTTACTACCAGGAATTTTTCTTGCTGTGACATAGTATCCATGGGTGTATTATATCACAAAGCAAGATATTCTATTGAGTAAGTTGCTAATGTCTACTTGATTATAAGGAACTTTTCACCAAATTATTTACATACTTGTAAAGTTCGATTATTTCAAAAATCAACCAAAATAATTCGAAATTCTCTCATAGTCGAATAGTGAGTAATTAAAGCGAGGTAAAAAGAATCAATGAAATACTCACTCTATTAACTCTTGTAGTAAAAACACTTTTTAAAAAAGCATTAAAAATGACCATTCTTGCATTGCATAATTTTCTTATATGATGTTTCTTCTTCTGTTTTAGCTAATAATTACATATTTGCTTTTAACTTGTCGACCTTTTCCGCCATTATTATTTGTCCGTTGAATGGTTTTTTACTTGGATTTAAAGCTAATAAAAGTAAGATGTCAACTTTTTTGATTTTGACCTTGAAACTTGTGTTATTTGACTACATAAATAGGTAAGAAACAGAAACTATTTAATATTTCATTGATGCAAACTATATCATGGCTAATAAATATTGTGGCATGTATTGTATGTATGTTTCCTCGAAAAACTATGATTATTCCAGCATTGGTTATCAATTGTTTTGCTCGAGCTACAATTGTAGGTGGCAGTCAAGCAGTCATCGCAACTTTGTAAGTATTGCTTAAAATCTTGTTACGATCAGAGGTAGTTGTCGATTTGGCAAGCACAAAGGATCAGAATCGGCTTATCAGTTGGCATATGTGACTCAAATAGAAGAAACAAATAAACTTCATAAGAAAGTGAATAAAATATATGAAAGAGAAAAATATTTCTTTTATAATATCTCCTATAAGTTTTGCTTGATACGCTGTAGTTTTTTCATTTTTGTTAATATATACTTATCTCTATTTCAGCTTTCCATCTGAGTATATTGGCACATTAACTGGAGTTATGTGGACTGCAGTTGGTGTTATCACTACCGTTCAATATGTTTTAGTCCAATTGACAAACAATGTTTCTCTTTCATGGAGAGTAAGTTTTTTCTTCTATCTCTTATCGTCATTATATAAAATGATTGCTTCTATTTTAGGCATGGTTAATTGTATTGTCACTTGTGATATTAATGTCATGTCATCTAGTTCAATTGTGGTGGAAATATGTGAAAGAATTCAGAAAGAAATCTGTGGCAATTATGAAAAAATGAATGATGACCAAATTTTAAACAGACTATCGATTTCATTTTATGCTTTTTTTTTATCTCAGATTATTTTTAGTTATTTTTACTTCGTGTGATGTCGTTGTCTTTTTTTTTTTTTTTTACATAACAATAAAGATCTATTTGATTTGTTTCAACAAATATCTTTTATATTCTCTCTTACGATAGTCTCTATGATATGATAAATCTGGTTGATGTAATAGCATCTGAATTCAATATGAGTATCGATGTCCTCCCTAAAAAAATGGTGACGATTAAAGAAAGTGAAATGAACAGTTGAAGATTATTTTTATTTTTTATTTTTCTATTTCTTGTGACATATCTTCGTGATACTTTTTTTTTGAAACTGAGTCTCTTTTTTTTTTATGTGCAACATTTTCATTCGTTTTTTTTGTTTGCTGCCCATACTCTACGTTTATTATTGTATACCTATTCATATTGACTGATCTATACTATATTTTCAATTGAATATTGTTAATATCGTGTAGCATTATTTTGAAATGATTTAAATAAAGTATGGATACTGAAAAGAAGAAGGATCTTGACATTCTCCTAGGGTTATCAATTTTGTTTCCGCAAATAGAATCAATTGATAAGCTCTCAGGACGCCCTACTCTGCCCGGATACTCCCTCAAAGGTAGGATAAGGCAAAGCGAAAAAATAAAGTAATTCATAATACTATAGGCACTGTAAAAAGTACTAAACAGTAGTTTCTCGAATTTTAAACATATGAGATTACATTTGACTACTTTCTGAGATATTTTATTGTACTCTGGACTTGTCAAGAAGTGATAACAAGTAGTTTTAACTTGTTTAAAAGTATTTCATAGTATTCTTCCAAATCAAGTGGTATATTATATTGATTTTCATATTTTCAAAAATACTTGGTTGAACTTCTGACATATTAAAAAACTGATTTATAGTACTTTCTATATTCAGAGATGTGAGTTATAGTGGTGGTCACTCATTTTCAGCCGATGCATAAGTAAAAACCATGGAAAGTATTAAGCATTAAATATCAGTTTAGGCGCATTCAGATACTGTTCAAACCTTGTAGTAGCAGTGTTGCTTACATAGAGCACATGTGTACTTAATAGCATTATACAGGAATATCAATTTCTCTAGTTATTTAATACGATAAAGTCGAATTAGCAGTGGGTAAACTCAACGGTGGATAGTGACTTTTCACTTGTTAGGTTTTATTCTTTGTTTAAAATTTTACGCTGTTTTAAACTGAGCTTTTCTCCCACTTGTCAAAAGATTTCTTTTAGATCAAATCGAAATATTTGTTTAAATCAATTGTAGGTAAAAGTACAATAGATGCAGATAAAATAGGCATCTGTTTTACGAACTATGTTTCCAGTTCGAAAAACACATAAAGTGACATTTTCAATTTGAATACTCAGAAATATAACGAAGATCGAATAAAAAATAATTAATTAATTATTTTACGTTTTTTCACTATTTCCAGTTTTTAAACTATTGTCTTTCATTAGTTGAAAGCTTTGCTCATCACATAAGTGCCTAATATTATTTCGCTACTATTTTTCACATTATATTTCACTTAATTGCTAAAACTACCATCAGATTTACTATCATGCAAACAATTTTAAGTACTCTTCACTTCTCAAGTACTTGTTTTTACTGTAAGACTAGAAATCTATTTTGGATCACGCCTTTTCTCAGTAGATTTAGAGTGCTTCGTGACAAAGTTATACTATATACATGGCAAAGAAAACTGCCATCGGGAGCTTATCAGTAATGTCACTTGAAGTTCAAGTAAAGACAAGTAGTATGAAATTATTGGTGGTGAACCAAGACATGTTGATGGTGTAACTTTTTACCACCAATCATAGAAAATTTTACCTTTTCACAGTAGAACTGACATTCTATTTTTGCATTCTGTTGAAAGACAGATATTCTACCTTCACAAACAATCGTAAGCTTCCTCCTTCTCTCTACTGTTGGCTGTGCCGGGCAACTAATGTATTGACTGTTTGGTAGAAAGTCACTTTAGATGTCTAGAATAAAAAATTACTATTAAGAAAAGTCAGTTTAAGTATTCGACATTGAACAGTACTATTAAGTTGTTATTGTACAATATTCATCTCTATCAATTTATAAGACAGTTTCATGTACACAGATTTGGTCAAATGGTTTGTATATCTGCTTTCAGATTTGAAGAAGTTGAAAAAAGTGAGGATTTAACTTGAAAAAGTTCGAATCGAGCCTCGAGAAACGAAATAAGTAAAATTTTATACTAAAAAGTAGTATGACAATATAAGTAATACAGAGTTTAGCCCAACTGTGAGAAATAATTTATTGGATGGTTTAGATTTAAGAAAATTAGCTGATGAATGGATAAGATACATTTTATTTTCTTTGTTGCATTAGAGTGCAATCAAACAAAGCACGTTCGAATTAATTTTAATATCTTGTTTATTTTCAACTATTTCAGGCACAAATGAAAGATAGAAGAGTCAAAATCAGTCAACCGTAAAAAAGTGAAAATTATGAAATGACAGTGTGACATAAGTGTATTTTTTATGTTTATTATATGTGCTGGTTTTCTTGCTTAGTTTTGTAATTGAACTGTACTTTTTTCAAACATGAATGAAAAGAGGAGTAGAGATAGTTTGTCTTTTTCTCATTCGCAAGCACACTTCCTCCTAAAAGAAAATTTAGTTAGTATATACACTACTTATGTTGAGATATTTCACTTACAACCCTCAAAACTTTCGATAGTCAGGTCAGCCCTACTTAGAGAATTCATCTAGATCATATTTATCTATGTCCATCGTATTCGGACTGTGTCAAATCAGAAAAAAAGCCGCTCTATTGATTGAAACCTACAATGACATCCTTTCGCTGCATTGAACGCTCTAATCCACAATATTCATGCTATTTAGAATCTAAACGATCAGAATGATCTAAGGATTGATACTCAATAATTTTTAACTTCACCCTTCCCGCTATCTGGTTCTTAGGACCTAGAGAGGGCTGGAAGCAAATCACAGAAATCTCGATTTAGCCTTCCACTCAATATTGTTTTCTTTGAAAATATATGTGAGTTCCACAGAACAAATTTGGTGGAGTACAAATAACATTTTCTATGGCAAATATTATACAGTGAAATACATGTCATTCGTTCCGATGTTTTATGCTAACTCTGAATATCATATGCATTTTGTTTGAATTTTATATTTGCGACCACATTACTAGTATAGAATGTAAGAAAAGAAATTTGAATTTTTCGATTTATTCATGGTTGACACTTTAAAACAATCATCATAAATAATTATAAAATAGAACATTTCATTTTGATGTTGCAATATTTTGTTAATTTTTTTTTCTTTTAAAAAGCGTAATCTTATTTATTTTGAAATTCTTTTTCAATACAAGAATATTAACAAATGTAATTTGTACATAATTTGAATCGATCATCTTATACCTATCTGATCTTTTAATCAAAAATTTACTCTATAATATAAAATTTATCTATCTTTATTAAATCAACAAATCCATGAAGTCTAAAATTAATGTGAATACAGTTTTTTCTTTATATTCATTATTAGTATAATCTATTTTTCGACGATCAATAAGAATATTCTTTTTAATTGATTATTATTTATCAAGTCTTGAACAAATGCTTTTCTCGATTCTCCTGTCAACCAGTAGGCAAAGCAATTTTATCAGTTGACACATTCAATAGAATAATAACAATAACAACAAATCATTACGAGTATAGTCTTTATTTTCTATTAATCACATTATTTTGTTTATCATAATTGGACTAATATTTCATTAATAGAAAAGTGAGATACAAAAATAATTGCATAAAAATTGTTCTTGTCAATAAAATAAGAAGAAGAACAGAATAATGAACATTCGTTCACTCCTTTTAACCAATAAAAAACTAATATGTCGCTAAGGGTAAATGATATCATTTTGTAGTATTCGTAACCAACAACGTCATTTAGTTGTATTAAGTAGCGACATGCATCTACGCATGAAGCTGAAAAATCAGAAAAAAATCCATGACTTTCATAAGTTGCACATAAAAAGCACTGAAACAATGGCATTTTGGATGATGAAGCAGACATTAAAAATGACGTATTTCACTTTCATAATTGAATCGTACATTTCTATGAAGCAAATGCCATGAAAATGAATTTTAATCAATGAAATTGAAATACATCAATTTTAATGTCTATTTCGTCATTTTAATGCAGCTTTTTTAGGTCCATTGGTAGATATATGTTTAAAAAAAATCGACATGTTTTTTTATCTTTCTTTCAGAAAAAAAAATATTCTTATCACACATTTACATTAAAAATTTATTCTTGTAAAGGGTATTGACTTAATCATTCTTTAATATTTGAAAAATTTTAATTTATTTTTTTTTCTCATCTAGACATTAGAGAGAAGCATCAAATCATTATAATAATCAAGTATGTTTTTTTTTATAATTCTTAGGTATTATCTAAAGTAGTGGCAGAGAAGTACTTTAATTTATTGTGAAAAGCTTGTGGAAACTTTCTCTGTGTATGTACTAATAGTAAAAACAGTGTTCTATTTTTTCTACAATATTTCATTGTTCTTCAACTATTATCATCGTAATAAAATTCTGATAAGAGCTGTTTGTTATGATATCTGACGATAATGTATATTTAAAAATAAAGGTGAGTGAGTATTTTTTTGAACGACTTTTGTTATAAAACAAAATGAAGAGCTTCGGTTCTTATCGTTGGAAACAAGAAATGAAAACGCATTGAATCGTATATTATAGGTTTTTTAAACAATTTTCTAAAATAAAGGCTGCAACAAGCTTTCTTTGATCAAAAACATTAAAAAAAAGTTTTTTTTTTTCACAGGTTGAGCAGTTTTGTAGATCTACGAAAGGTCGTTTGAAAGGACACCTTAGAATTGAAAATTTACTGTAAACAACTCATGAGATAGGTTTATTTTGAGACTATTCTATTGTAAAA